CAGCAACTCGTATTTCAGACCACACATTCCTTAGTCCCAGCTCCCTCTGCGGGGGGTTCCCCTGCAACAGGAAGGGGCACAGGGGTTATCAGAGACTCTGGCCTCTGTGGCAGTCCTGGTTGCAAGTGATGGAGCAAATATGTGGCCTCAAAGAAAGAGGAGCAGGCTCACGAGTTTTTTTCTCTGGCCACGGGTGAGCCACCTGCCTGGTGCTCTCTCCACCCGGTCTGGCCGGGAGTCAAGAGACATGACGTCAATTCCCAGCTCTGCAGGACCATGGGCAAGTCCCAGCCCGTCTTTGTGCCTCAGTTTCCCCCTTGTGTAAAATGGAAATGCCTCGCAGGGGGAAGAGGGCATGGCCAGCTCCTCAGCACAGTGCCATCGGTCTCAGCGGAGCGATAGTCATTCCTACCCGCCGAGGACCTCACCATTTGTAGAGGGCTGTAGATCCTTGGGTAAACTTGCAGAGTGTTGTTGCTATTAATAAATAGAGCCGGGCAGCTGTGCTACCATGGGTCGCCTCTGTAGCTGGTCCTTACAGGACGTGAGTCCCATATAACAAATATGTGTCTGGTTGAAGCGTTTCCTTTCTCCTCCCCCAGGAGTGCATCAAAGCCTGCAAAATGGACCTGTCCGATGAGTCCCCCATGTACCCAGGCAACGGCCACCTGCAGCCTCTGTCCGAGAACATCCGGAAGTACGTCATGAGCCATTTCCGCTGGAACAAGTTCGGCAGGAAGAACAGCAGCAGCAGCGTCGCTGGCCACAAGCGAGAGGAGATCCCCAGCCATCTCCTCTTGGGCCTCTTCCCGGACGTGGCCCCCGCTCAAAGAGGAGACGATGGGGAAGGAGGAGCTGCCCTTGAAAGGCAAGACAGCAAACGATCCTACTCGATGGAGCATTTCCGATGGGGGAAGCCAGTGGGCAGGAAGAGGAGACCCATCAAGGTCTATCCCAGTGAGGTGGAAGAGGAGTCCGCCGAGAGCTACCCACCGGAATTCAGAAGAGACCTCTCAATGGAACTGGACTACCCCGAGTTTGAGTCCCTGGAAGACCCAGAGAGCGAGGAAGCGCTGGTCTCAGAGGAGGCGGAGAAGAAAGACGGAAATTCCTACAAGATGCACCATTTCCGATGGAACGCCCCGCCCAAAGACAAGCGATACGGGGGCTTCATGACGTCAGAGAGCAGCCAGACCCCTCTAATGACTCTCTTTAAGAATGCCATAATCAAAAATGCCTACAAGAAGGGCCAGTAAGGGGAGGGAGGGCGTGGATGCAACTTGCAACTAGATCCCTACGGAGACCCAGATTAGCTTCAAGAGCCCACTGGCATGTGTTTCACTTAGATACAGTCACAATGGTCACTTATTCTGTCGTTACTAATTATTATTCTTAAGCGGTTTGCGGCTAGGAAACGGTTTCATGTTCTTACTCTGACTTTGAATGTACACAGATTAAAAAAAAATCAACCCATTGAAATAAAAACATCCGTCCTGTACATAAGAGGAAAGAGATGCTTTGATGAGTGCACTTCTAGTTTTGCTCTGCCAGATTATTTTCATATTTTAAACAAGCTGTACAATACTGTAAATGATGGATTCAAATAATAATACAGTTTTGCAAGCTAAGCAGATCTCTGCCGCGTCTCTGGTTCATGAGCTGCCTTCTCGGGTGTTCCAAGACAAGCTACAGTCTGAAAGCGGAAAGATGGGATGCGGTGTGGGGGGGTGTTAAATCCCTTGGGGTACGTCTACACACCAACATGATTTCAAAATAACTAGTGTTATTTCGAAATAACATAGTCCGCGTCTACACAGCAGGCAGTTATTAAAAAAATAGTAGCCCAATGTCTGAAACTCTGTAACGCTGAAACGCTGGCTGTTCCCTCTGGGCGGCGCCGTTGCCTCCTGCCGTGGTGCTCGGCTGACTTCTGCGCCGCTCATCCAGGCCACCGCGGGGGGGCCCCAACGGCCC